GCAATTTGAGGGATTTTAATGAAATAAAAAGCTTTAACGTTTCCAAGGATTGATCCTTTCAGATGGCGACCAGAAAGAGATAACCGTGATCTGGTCGTTTCTTGCAGCAGTGTTCTTGTTTGTTCCGCATGATGTTTTTGTTTCGTTGGGGGCCTTATATCTTTATATACATATATAGACCGATTATGTAAAATATTTGATTATGTGACTAGCGCATGTGTGTTAATTTAAGAACACGTAAGTCACGATTGCTTCAAGACATATAAACTTTCAAATGTATGTTCCACTTTAATGAAATTGAACCTCATCACATGTCATATCAACGCCAGCGCCGTTAATGGAATACATGATGGTCAACCATGTTTTTGTCTTTAGTTTGCTTGCTTAGCGAATAACGCAGTTTTAACCCCTTCCAGAGCTTATAAGCAAAATACGAAAAACTCTCGGCAGCAAATGACAATAATTTGTATTTGGGGGGAAGGTGCAGCCATTATTGAGTAAACCTAGATTGAATTCAAATTGATATAATGCTACATTCTTCAAAAAAGACCGTTACTACGCCGCTCAGCTTTTTATATAGATGTTAAAAGTAACTTTGAATTTAGGACCAACTTATAGGCCGTTATTAAATTTGTAAATGAAATAAAGAATCCAGTCTTTAGCGATTGACAAGTACATTTTATTAGTAAATGTATCTTTGCATAGTCAAGTTGCGACCTGTACTATGCCGTTGGCAATACGAAAAAGACGAAGGGATAATGTCGAAATGCTATGTGCTATTGTTTGAACTTAAATAGTACGATTTAGGTAAATGCAACTTCAAATTGCCGTGTCGTGTCGGATTGTCGTAATGTAAATGCTCATTTCAAGTGTTAACATTTTGCCAAAATTTACGAATACGAATACGGAAAAGTTAAAGGGTCCAATTTAGAGCGATGATGAGGGGTAATACGACTGATTTATGTTTGCTTTGATCAAATGTTTTAACACAAATCAATTCATTATATTTACAAAGACGAGTCTAAGACCAATTTTTGTCATTTTTAGTCACTTTTCTCAAAATGCTTTAGGCGAATTATGGTCAAAAAGACAAATGTTTTACAAAAGATGAAAACATACCTTTTAGCCTAGATGGAAACTTCAAGCATATCTAGAAAAGGTTCGGTGAAATAAACGTTTAGGTTTTAATCTTTGTGAGTAAAATAAATTGATTTGTGTTAAAAATCTTCTTAATTAAATCGAACTAAACTCATTCGACTCTCACCATTTGATCTCACTTATTGGAGGCTCTTTACGAGTGCGTTATTCGAAACAAGACATGTCACGTTACATGGCGAATGAAAACTCCAAATCCAAATTGAAAGGATATTTAAGTAATGGCGTATAACGTTGTCTTTTGTAGTGAAGACATCAAATGCGATACAACGTTTGACAATGATAAAAGGTTGTTCAACCAAGCAGACTGATACGTTATAATTTTGCTTGGCTTCACAGTTTTTAAATGAATTTTATGCCACATAAATTTTTTATTTGCTTTTCATTTAAAATAGCTTTTATTGTTATTATCCTTTATAGTCCCCAAGAAGTAGTGAGCCATTAGTAGTAATTGGCATATTACCTGAGCCATTGTTTGCTTTGATTGTTTTCTGGCAACTAGACAATTTACTGTGATTCTTTGTGGAAGGCAAAATACATTACTTACTACATTTTGTACCTTGTTTACATCTTAACATTTGTACTTTAATTTACAGATAATTTCACATCCGATCCTTCTTTCTAAAAGTTTCTAAAAGGTGAAAAGCATCTAACATGCTCTAAAACCAGTATGAAAAGGCACATTATATAATTATATTGGAAAATCAATTGTTTTAATTTGTTAGAAATGTCAAACATGTGTTTATTATTGTTTGAATAATAAATTAAAGGATCATTACATCTTAAATAACTGAAGAAAGTAGCACTGAACTTGCAGTAATGTGACATAAGGGTAGTAAAATGTAAACAAAGTAGTGCTTTGACTTCTATACAAAATACTAATGTACTACAGTATACCAACAGAGCTAAAGTTGCAAAAGATAGTCCATGAACATGGCAAATGAGTATTACTTTGAAAGCTGTAATGAGATACTAAACAGTATAGGTATTTGTGAAATTGAATTAAATTAGTAGCGATTCTGAGGTAAAAAAGGCCTTTAAAGTGTATAACAAGTATACTTCCAAAATGCTTCAGAATCTATAAAATAAATTTGGTAGTATACTGCCTTAAAAGCGGACAGTGCATGCACAAAATCATTGCTAAACGGGTAAAATCCTACTTTAAATTGCAAAATAATATTTTCTTCCGGAACATTTTATTTTGTTTACGTATATTATTCATGTTTATTAAATAACAGAGGCATTCTATGTTACAACTTTTTTCGGGAATGAACCATATAATAAAAATGGAACCAATATAATTTTATTGTTGATATATGTTATTAAACTATTTCCTAAGATATAGATTTATACCCTTTAAATGTTATATATACGCGTACAACACGTTTGCATTTGTCTAAAATATATCCAACATAAGGCTCCTAGTACGTCATCTCACACCTGTAAAATTCCCACAGTATGACTGTTTTTAGCTCGACTTTTCTATGAAAAGGGGAGCTATCCTACTCGCCCCGGCGTCGGCGTCGGCGTCGGCGTCGGCGTCGGCGTTAGCGTCGGCGTTGGCGTCACACCTTGGTTAAGTTTTTCGTACCACCCCACTTTATTTCAGAAGTATTACAAGTATGGCTTTGAAACTTACCATACTTGTTCACCATCATAACCTCCATCTACAGACAAGAGTACATAACTCTGTCAAGGTTTTTGACAGAATTATGGCCCTTTTTTGACTTAGAAAGTGTATTGAGCTTGGTTAAGTTTTTTGTACCACCTCACTTTATTTCAAAACCATTGGAGGTATTGCTTTGAAACTGACCATACTTGTTTACCATCACGACCTTCATCAACAGACAAGAGGACATAACTCTGTCAAGGTTTTTGACAGAATTATGCCCCTTTTTGACTTAGAAAATACATTGAATATGGGTAAAATCCACTTATTGCCTTAACCCTTTGAGATATTGCTTTGAAACTTTTAATGCTATTTCACATCATTACCCCCATCTGTACGCAAGAGAAGGTAACTCTGTCAAGGATTTGTTTTAAAAATTAAGGCCTTTTATCGACTTAGAATCTTGGTTAAGTTTTTAGTACCAGTCCACTTTTTGACTGAACTGTTTGAGATATTAATTTGAATTTTGGAATACTTGTTTACAATCATGATTCCCAAACATGTCCAGGAGAAGGTAATTCTGTCAAAGATTTTATTTGAATTATGGCCCTTAACTGTCAATGTTTTGTATTATAGGCAAGCACTAAAAAACTTAAAAAATCTAAAAAAATTCATTCCTATCCACTTGTTCACTTTACCATAAATTATGTCATATAAACATTGCTGTAATATTCAAGGGTATCAAACAACTAGTTCACTTTAAAAATACAGAGATTCTTGTATTGCCTTTTACTGCAAAAACTTTTTTTATTGGCAAGCAATAAAAAAGTCGAGCGCGCTGTCTTACGGACAGCTCTTGTTTGGGTTTATTTTGTAGACTAAGTATTTTCATATTTTAAAAATCGTTAGAATAAAAAAAAATAATGTAGCGCACCAAAGATTAGCTTAAGTAATTGATATAAAAGTATACTCTCTGGTTTCCTTTAGCCTAAAACGGGATAAAGTTTGTTTGGTGAAACATTCGTTTTCAAGACTAAACTTGGCAGTTAAACTTTTAATTGTATCAAGTACTTAATCCTCTCTTTGATGTGCTACATTATTTTTTTTTATTTTCTAACAATGTCTTAAAATAAAAACAAATTTTACCTCCGAGTCGACGGAAGGATTACAGAAAAACAGACGTATTGGAAGCATTTTGCAGGTGCACGATGACGTATTGGAAGCATTTTGCAGGTGCGTGATGACGTATTGGAAGCATTTTGCAGGTGCGCGATGACGTATTGGAAGCATTTTGCAGGTGCGTGATGACGTAATTATCGAGACTCCATATCTTTGCCCCTAAAAAATCGAAAGTTATTTTCAAGACACCAAGCCATGTAATTACTCGTTTGTGATGTATTTTGTGCTTACTTAATAATATCATAATGATTTACACATGTGGTGAAGAAGATATTGATATCTTAGCTTCTTGAAAAGACCATAAGCGGAAAGAAATATAGTAAAATATTGGTAAAGTGGCTGTTTGGGAAAATGTTGTTCAGAGGCTTTATTTCTAGCTTATGTGGCCATTCTGTTTAGTGTCATCAAAACCCGCCAAGCGGATCTGTGAGCTGTTGTTAAAAGTGCTTGTATCTTTTTATATAGAAATGGATTAAGAAACAACTATGGCTGATACAATATTTAAGTTACAAAACAAATCAAAGACAACAATGACAAAAAGTTATAACGTGTAAAGCACAAAAGGGAATGAAATGAAATAAAAACGTTAATACTCGTTATCGAATTAAAGGCTGTTTCAATGTACAATGCGTAATCGCTGAATGATTAGTATTTTAAGTCGAAACGAATATGAAGTGTGACACTTCATTGTGTTAATGACACAGAAAACTACAACCAAACCTTTGAATGAAGGACATCCAAGGGAGAAACAATATATGTCCTTTATAGACAAATTGAAGTTTAATCTGCTGTATTTTTATCAATGAAGTTAAGTCAACGAGTGGTCTGTTATGTGGTGGTCTTTTTTTGGTTGTTTTTAACAGAGGTGCGACTGTACTTTTGCCGTTGGTTGGGTGCAATTTATTTTCTCAAATGAGCAGACTCAATCAAAACAGTGTTTGCAATTAATTGATTATTATTTTCACTGCTCTGAAAGGATCTTAGGTATCTTTCATTTCCCTTCATTTAGATTGTTCAGATTTATTTTAACAACTATTCTATATAACAAACAAACGTGTTGTGTTGGTGCTGAAAAAAATATTTATTATTCAAAATATGCATAATGTGTTTACAAACAAATTATTCATGTTATATTTTATCATGTTAAAATAATTGTGCTTAATGTAAAAGAAACGGAGCAATTGATTGTAAGTTATTCAATTTAGACTTTATAGTTAAAAGCTTAAAGAGTTTCAGTCAGGTGTTTAACACATTAGCACTTCGTCGAGCTTCGTCATTGTCAAATCTTTTTATTCATCAAGCTAAATGTTTTATTTAAGTCTATATATTTCAAAGGAGATAATTCGAGTAAAAATGTTGTTTGTGGCATTTCATTGTTAGTATTGTTCAATCTATTTCTTTCCACCCCACCCTCTAACTGGTGGAATCCATCTTCTTACAGGTGGAACTGGGGGAATTCTAACTGGAGGAATTCTTACAGGTGGAACCCATCTTCTTACAGGTGGGATTGGGGGAATTCTAACTGGAGGAATTCTTACTGGTGGAACCCATCTTCTTACAGGTGGAACTGGAGGAATTCTTATTGGTGGAATACCCCATAATTTCTTTTGTTGTTTATTTTTGTTGTTGCTTTGTATTTCATCGCTGAAATGCAGTGAATGAATATTCAAACTAAAAACATAAATAAAACGAATGAATAAATTATAAAAACAAATTGTTCCTAAGACTGATTTTGTTAAGCAAATTGAAAGATATTCAAATATAAAGTATCTATCCAATATTTTACAGTGATACTTCACATTTCGCTAGATATTTCCGGTATTTTACTACTGTTCTAGTGTCTTTATGCTTGTTCTGCACACTACATTTTACCTTATAACGGAAAGGAGGAACATGCTTTATCTAAATCAAGTCAAACATTCATTAATGATATATTTTGGACATCATGATATGATTTTTTATCTACAACAAGGTTCTTTGACATATACATACGATTTGAGGCGTCTGAGGCGAAAAACGTATTAAACTAATATTTAGAAAATAAAGGTAAATGGCACAGAGTTGAATACTAGTATACAAATCTGAAACCCCAAACACATTTGCCACGGCATTTCGTCCTGAAATCTTTCATCATCAACGAACCGCTGCTCAATAATCATCGTCTATACCGCATTAGATTAGCAATTCCTCGTATTATGACCTAATAATTGCATTCACCCTTACGCATATATCCCCCCTCTCTCTTTCTTGTCTACAACATTCGTTACACTTGCACTATCCACCCTTATACCCAACTTAGTTTCTCTTCAGTCTACAACGCCTTCTTTACAAATGTACTTTGTTCTTTACTTGTACTATTCCCCCCTTATACCTTATATGATTTATTTATTTACTTACTTTGCTCTCTCCTGGTTCCTAGCTGCTAATGCCATTCTCTGAAATAGCGGAATTATGACATGAATGAAATGAGACATCAAAACAAAACGAATGAAAATAATAATAGAAAACTTCTATTCATCATCGGTGATAAGTATGAATTTTAAGGGGCCAGTTACACAGACGGTCGGTCCCCAATCGGTCATTTAATTTTAAATTTACTCGCTGTTATGATCAGTTGTCATGCGTGATTTTATTTCTGGTTTTCTGTGTAAACGGCCATCGGTGACAGAAAGCAATCTCAAACGGGGTTGGGTCGGTGATAAAAATGCTGAAATACTATCGGTTTTATCGTTTTTAAATGTAAATCGGAGCTAAATCGGGCGTAACGCTGATTAATGGGTGTTTGATAGCTAGTCATCAGTGGTTAAACACTTCCGTCAGATATGACCGGTGCTTCATATTTGGTTATCTTTGTCCGATCGGCGATATCGGTGATTAAGAGCTTGCATATCTCTTGATATAGGTTGCTGTCGGTTATTTGTAAAATATTTTCACCGATCGAGAATTTTAAACATGTTTAAAAATCCCAATCGGTAATTTTTCACCGATGAAACTTATCTTTCCCCAATAGCAGTTGATAGGTGGAAAACAGGTGACCAATAGGTGATATCGGTGTTAAATACGTTGTCATCGGTTCACTCCATAATTTGGCTAAAAAAACTACCAATTAATCACCGATTGCTCTGTGTAACTTGGGTGTTAAATCGTAAATGAAAAATCGGTCAATGATAAAATAATATTAATTGTTTCTCATAAGAGATGATGTTTTCAGCACCGCTTTGAATATAACACTGACTTAAACCGGTTTAGTTTTTCAAGTGCACGCCTCTCTTCACTTTCAGTGATAAATCTAACTCAGGACATCATATTAAAATAATTTATCACTAATCAAGTTGGACTGTATTCTTAAGTATGAAATTGAGACTTGATTGTGTTAATGTATACACCTTAGAAAATATCGATGATTTTTTTTTTCAATCTCAATTTTTTTATCATAACATTTTGTCTGTTTCACAGAATCTATAGCTAAATCTTAGTCAAATAATTTAACTGCATTTTTGGAAGATTTCCTTTTTTTATTCATTTATTTATTTATTTATTTTATTTATTTATTTATTTATTTATTTATTTATTTATTTATTTATTTATTTATTTATTTATGTATTTATTTATTTATTTATTTATTTATTTATTATTTATTATATTCATTATTATTTTGTAAAGGGAAGAAAAATCTCACTTAGAAAATAACCTGCTCAACTGCTTAAGTAAAATCTTTGTTGATCAAGCGAAAGGAATCTGGCATAGATAAGAACAATTTTTATGAGGTATATTGCATATCAGTAGCTTATAATACAACCTTTTGGACATTATCATCACTGCAATCGTCTTCACACCTTTGCTCATCGTCAATATCAGCCATACAGTCGTAGAAACACGTGCATGGTTCGTAACATTCGTTATCCTCGCCACATTCCTCGGAGCACGGGTCGTTCGTGTCTCTCTTGCTCTAGAAATATAATTAGTAAAAACAGTTTTAATACAACCACAGAACATATGAGCCGCGTCATGACAAAACCAACATAATTGATTTGCGATCAGCATGGATCCAGACCAGCCTGCGCATCCGCGCAGTCTGATCAGGATCCATGCTGTTCGCTTACAAACCCTATTACAAGTAGAGAAACTGATAGCGAACAGCATGGATCCTGATCAGACTGCGCGGATGCGAAGGCTGGTCTGGATCCATGCTGGTCGCAAATCCATTAAGTTGTGTTTTGTCATGACGCGGCTCATATTTTTGTTTAAAATAGTACATGTATCTGTAAATTTGAAACTGGAATCAGTAGGTCTCGAATGAGTTTTTTTTCATATAAAATAAGTTTTCTTTTATCCACGAGATATGGAAGTAAACATGTCGCTAATACAGGAAAAATAAGGAACTACAGTAGTAAATGAATTCGAGATATATTGGTTATAATTGCCTTACATGCAATGTATTGAAAATATGTTTAGTTAGACACTAAGAAGGTCAATGCTAAAAACATGTGAAAATCATTTGAGCAGATATTAAAATTTTCTCCAATTCTTACTGTATCTATCGCATCCTCTAGGGTTTGTAACAACCTTTTTTCTTCATCATTCAAGTCGTTTACGTCACTCTCAGCTTGGACTGTGAGAAAAATAAATGTTTATCTTCCTTTTATATGTAAAGCATTTTTTAAAGACGATTCAAACCCACGATGCAACATGTGTCCTTATATTCGGATTCAAATACCAGAAACTTTCGAAGAACGTACTGTTATTTTAAGAAAAGAGCAGTAAAAAGAGACTTAATTCCCGAGTAATAATTTATATGCTTTGCGCGATTAGTTACTGATTTTGCAGTATTTATCAACATATTTCTAAAGCGTGATTAACGCAGTAAATGCAACTTTTACATAGTTTTATCTTACTTTGGTAATAAGCGTGGATTGTAAGTAACATTTGCAATGTGTAAACTTTTTGTTTTGTTCACTTTATAATGTTTTACTTCGAAATACTTTTTTTCAAAATTAACATGACAGATTGCATGATTCTGGAGCCATGCTGCAAGTTTTCCATATCGGGTGAAGCTATTCTTCTGATATCAATGACTTTAAAAGCAAGACAAAATCAGTAAGATGAAGTTAGTTTTGAAATTGACAAAAATTCAAAAAACTGAATTATAAATTTGAAATGTACCGATTGTGTAGCTCATTTTTATTATTATTATAATTATTATTATTATTATTATTTCCGTAAAAAGTGTGAAAGAAATCTACTGTCACCGACGGAAAGATCAAATCAACAACTTTCATTTTGAATTTTGACATCAGAAATACAAAGTTGTTCATTTAATAAACATGAACAGTGTTTACGACATTTTTTGAAACCAATAAATGAAACAATTAATTTTACCTTTTTGGCTCCATTTTGCAACAGCAATGGCACACAGACATACCACCAAGAACTTTAACATCGTGATGATTTAAGTCCTCGACACAGTCTGACAGCGCCCACGAACAGAGTCCATATATATGTACAAAGTTCTATGGTTCGTCAAGCAAACACTTGATCCAATATACAAAAAAATATGATCTGCTCATTTTAATGGTTTCAAGTCACTAGCCTTGCGTATACATTTTAGGCAGATTTCCACTTCTGATTTGTTTAATTTCTTTTTTAACTTATTGATGTCAATATATCCCGAAGGGTTTCCTATATATGAGCAATCATTAAAAATATTATTTTGTATACTGTTTTGTCATCTGTGAACAAAGAAAATTAAAAGTATAAGCTATTTAGAATTAAGGCGTAAAAAGCAAAACACAGTAAAAAAACAAAACAACAGGCTGCTCTGTCTTTTATATATAAAAATGTCTACCATTTTAATAAGTGAGAAGGTGCACCACACTAAACGCCGTATTACGCTATATACCGGACAAGGCGCTTGAATATTTAAGGTAGACCATTGGTAATGCATTTCCTCCACTTTAAAGAGTATTCAAATAGGCTAGAATCGCTTGCCAACTACATTGAAATTGAGGGACGTGGGTTCAATCCCCAGAAGGGGCAACTTTGTTTTCTTTCTTTCTTTTTTTTACATTACTTATGTATCTCTCTGAACCCTTATGTAAGAAAAAAAGGTTTGATTTTAATTATATTTTAATTATTGTAGGTATTTATTTGCTAACTAATGTCAAAATTTATAGCAAATATCGTACCAGATAGTTTCAAAGTTTAAGAAAATAAAAACTACACGGTGAAAGTATGTTATATTTCGCATGATCAACCAATATACCTTTAAAAAAATTGGGCAAAATTTGAAAACGGCCCCACATTATGGTAAATTTTAGATATATTTTGAATAAGGCATTTCAGATAGGGAAATGGTAAAATTAGTGTTTACTAAGTGGGTGGGGTAGGGTAACATTTTTATACATAATAAGAACATTTTTTTTAGAAACAAACACGTTGCTTGCGTAATTTGTTACCTGAATGTTATTATTTGTTTCTTAACAATGAACAATAGAAAACATTTTTATAATGATGATATTACAGATTATTTAAAGTTTCCTCATTTCGGAAAATAAGCCCTTCTTATGCAGAAATATATCCATAACTCATAAACCACACGGTAAATTTTATTTAAATTTTGCATACAGGTGACCTTGAAGACATTTAACTGTCCTATGTTGTCAATTTTACAGTTCCTTATGGGCCAACTACCCATTGTCTACCTAAATGCTAAAATCTCGCTTTCACAGCCGCCGAAATGCATTTAAAGACACCTAATTCATCTGTTCACACCGATTCATATACGATAATGAATAAACAATGTAACAAAACAAAAAACGGTGTGAAAAAAGCGATATTTTCCTATTTTGTGATCATGATTTCTTCAAGCGTCTGGCCGTACTGTTCAAACAGTACTGCTCATGTAGTGAGTTAAATCCCATTTAAATGCATGCATCCCGGCTAAATATTTATATGTTATAGTTCATTATTACATCATTATGAATATATTATATATTTTCATGTAAATAAAAGGAGTCAAGCAAAATAATCTTAGTTAAAGTAAGTCATGTTTGAATTCCAACTAAAGTATAAAAAACCCAACAACAATAGTTTTTCTTTATGAATTCATATTAATTTCGTTGTCAAGTTTTTCATTCTGTCCAAAAAAAAATTTGCTCTGTGCATGTATGTACCTCAGACAATATATTTGTATACGATAATTTTCCCTGAGTTACCCTGACAACCAATAACAATTATAGTAGACTCAGTCAAATTAAGCGAAGCTTACAGATTATTACAAAAAAAAAATGTTTTTCTTATAATTTTGTAAGCAACCAACTTATCGGCTGCATACAGAAACTGCAAACGAATGTATCCCAAAATATATTATAAACAAAAAAAAATCATTGCTATACTGTTAACTTAGAAATGACAACGAAACTGTATATATTCGCACGACGAATTTATTCTCTGCCGACCAATATTTCTCTCATTCTCTAAAATGCCGATTTAAAACGAAGAATAAATAATTAACATCATCACCTTTTCATTTTGAAAATATATAAGCATCGAAAAAATAATCTACCCTTTGAGTTTGTTTTTGTATTATACATGTAATACTGGTATTCAATAGGAAATTCTTTAGACATTTAATATGTACCAAAGAGGTATGACCAATTAAAACCATTTTGTTCTCACTTGTTGGATAAATTGATACGAAAACTCATTTCAATAGTTATCTTACATGGTTTCTACACTCTCAGTATCAAAATAGAAACATTAAACTAAAATATGTTTTACTTAATGGAAGTATGAAAAAATCGACTTTACAAAGAATATCATAACACGTTATTGCAATGACATTTCATAAATTGATGATAAAATTCAAGGTCTTTTGATTTTTAGTAGCACATTAAAACCAAAATCCTTCAGCCATAGCTTAATCTTTATTTTACAGACAAAATCAAACATGTTTAATAACAATTTAGTAATACATATGTAAATAATTCAAAAAGTAATCGACATTTCTTTTATTTATTTTTATTTTGCCTTTCTGGACACACACTTCAACCACCTAAGCTCCTCTGCGTTGCCAATGATATAGCATTAGCGCACGGGCGTATCGTTAGAAGACTAAAACTTGATGCACAGTCGTAAAGATCAAACAAACTAAATAAAACTCACTATCAAGTAAATAATAAAATTGCAAAGATTTCCAAGAAGAGGAACGTCCATGAAATGCATGGTGTCCCTAAAAACATTCGGACACTCAGGACTACCGTGTAGGTCTCAGTATGACACTGCACACACCCCTACCCCAAACGTAAAGAAGGGAGAAATTAATGATATAACAATTACACGGACACTACCAACATAGAAGCGATGGCAGAAGAAACTAACTGTAGAGGACAATATACATTACAAGACATACAAAAGAAACATCTGATAGCGAGACTTTACAAACATTAAACAACATTGTATCATTAAGATACCGGTATATAAACAGCAACATAGAGGGACACCGCCTTGAGATTCGACCAATCATTAGCACAAAAAAAAATAAAAGATTAAGACAATTTTGTATAAACGGCTTTCATAACTACCAACCATAAAATCTTGGCTCGTCAGCTTTGGTAGTTTAGCGCGGAGGAAGGTTGTCTAGTACTGGTGTAACTCTCCAGGAACAATGGTTAGGAAACTACCCGCCTATATGACTGAAATACTGTTGGGAAAAGGCGTAAAATTACACAAACAAACAAACAAAAAAGGTGTAAACAAAATTGAAAGGTTTCGTGTCGGGCTGTAAATGGATTACATACCAAACATATATGTTTTTATATAGCTGAGTCATAAAATCTTGTGGAGAAAAAAATAACATGAGAATATATTTTCTAATCTCAAATCCATGGTTCATCAAGCAAAACCAATATAGAAACATACATTTCTTTTAATTGCTTAAAACACTTTAGATTGCAAATATTGATACGGCAAATTTCTTTTACCTGGCTGATGTAAAATATACCCACAGGGCAAACAACACTTACCTTAAATACTTTTTATTGTAAAGTCGTGTAGTCATGTACTTACCTGTATATAGGAACATCGTTTTACATTACCGGTTTGCTTGGTGATATTTTTAACATTGCTAGATCGGAATAATAAAGTTTTTGGGGCGGGAATTTACAAAGTTTTGTTTTTTCAGGCGGCAATGTCCTATGAAAATCATTTATTGCAAGAGTTTCTTCGTACCATTATGTTACTTAAATCATTTTTAAAACAGTTTATATTGTAGTTTGTTTTGTAAATTTGTATTATCTGCTTTTTACATTTGCATTTGAAATTAGGAAAGATATTAACATTAAACTTAAAATGTCCATGAAAAGTTACAGAACAATTTCACCACAACCATTCATTACATTTTTGACAAATTTACTACCCATTTGACTCCCCCAAATGATCCAAAATTTCAACATGTACTTAAATATTGCTGACCCTCTTGAAACTTATTTTATACATCAAGTGTCACAAGCTTGATAATATTTAATTAAAACGTTTAAAGATATATCTTCGACACATTGATTCATTTCTAATTTCTTGCATATGCTCTCATAACATACTTTAATGCATGCAGGTTTAACCTTATTGTTTAATCAATATGCTGTTCGAATATGATTTAATAATAAACTTATGTTATGTTATGTTTATAATTATGTTATGATAAGCAGGTCAAATTCTATAACTCTGCACTGCATTACAGCAGACAAAGTTATACCATTTTGCCCTTTCTAAAAAAGAGTCCGCCCGCTTCTCTTAGCTGAATAGAGATGGAGGACGCTGGAGAATATTCCCCGTGTCAAAGGATCTTAGAAATCGGGTCTTATCTTTATGTTTCTCTCATCACTAATTCAATAATCTTATTGGATTAATGTACCGCCAAAAGATGACCAAACATGTGTTAAATTCTTCTTAAATACAAGACAAGAAAAGCAAACGAGATTTTGTATTAACATAAAATATCTTAAAAATGACATGGTGGCTGACAAGCTAACTCAAAGTTGTCACTGAATTTTACACCTTATGCACATGGGTGAACAAATGTTAATATGAATATGGTGTTGTACAATGTCACTTTGTGACGCATCGATTTTATGTGAGAGTTTTAACATTAACAATGTTACAAGCAGTCTTTGAGTATTTCAGAATAAAAAATGGCAATTGTCCTTAAATCGGACGATGCCCTCGAAGACCTGCAACCTCTAACTTATATTCCCGTAAAAAAACGTAACCCTTAAAATTTAATTGCCGACATCAAGCAATAAACCCAGACGTAGAGGGTGCACATTGGTTTAGATACACGACCCCGCCAACACCATTACCATCGATGTTATCTTTTTAATATCAGTATTCCTAATTTAGAAAGTTTCCACTTCGTTGACTTTGTACATTACATGTATATCTAAAAGAGTAAATAACGGATATATCAATTATTTACAACCATTGATGACGTCAGAACAACATTAACCAATCATCAAATACTTTTCCGACCCGGATGTTTACAAT